GACTTAAGGACATTGGCTTTTACCAGTGGAGTACATGAAGCTCTCGAACTCTTCTTCGACACTTGTCCTTGTTCCATCTTCGGTGGACCTTCTTCCTTGGATTTTGGCTTCTCCACATTCTTCCTTTTAGCGGACTGCTTTTTCATAGTAATCTAGTGTAGGGAATTCAAGCCTTTAAATCCCACTAGTTTGAACCCCACTGTGATCATACACTAAAGTACGGTGGCGTCCAAAAGGGAAGAAGATAGAGCAAAAGAGTCGCCAACAAGTTTTTTTTAGGAACTTGTAAACCGTTCACGAGGTGAAGGTTACACCCCTTAACGATCCAAGAGATCGTCAACTCCATAAGGTCTAGAACCAAATAAGGGTTCGGGGATGAAGGTACAAATCCAACCTAAAAGAGATTGAACCTGCCCTAATAATAGGCCTCTACTTTATTCTGATCGTATTCATGTGCGCTTTCTAATTAACATGCAATCAATAGGATTAACCCTAAAATTGTTTATCTATGTTGGTTGAATATTATGCACAAACAAACTATTATTGGCGATCACTTGAATTATAATCACATTAACCCTAAACAAGATTATTAATTATCTTACTAAGCGTGATTACAAGTACCAATTCCCTTTAAACATGCAATAAAGGTGATCAAGCAATAAATAATAAATATCAAGCAACATAATAAATAATCAATATCATGAATAATAATAAATTATAATAACAATCATAATAATAATAATATCATCATAGATCATAACAATCATAATAATAATCATATTCATGTTAATATTAAAGCATAATAATAATAGCAAGATCCTAGGCATGATACTAACAAGATTAATAACAAACCCTAGCATGTCACTAAGCATTAAAAATCAAATCTATAACCCTAACATGATACTAACAATCATAAATATTAGGAAGAATATAAGAAGCATCGCAGGAATCATAATAAGCATATTTGATATTAAAATTACCCTAGACATGATACTAGGAATATCATAATAACAATGTAAACATGATATCTACATCATAATATCAATTAACACCATTAAATTACTTACTTTGATGCTTCGTACCTCTTTCTAATAACAAAATACACACGTTAGTAACTTTAAGGAAAATAATAAACAAAACAATTAAATTAAATAATAATTGAAATAGGGATTTGGGACCAAACCCTCAGAAATTAAAACCTTTCACGTCTAGGGTGAAGGCAACTTCGAATATGGCTAGGTGTTTCTAGATCTTGTGAATGCAGAATTTTGTATGTAAAAGCAAGGTTTAGAATTAAGAGAAAAAGAGAGAGAGATGAAAGAATTAGAAAACTGATTGTAGGTGAATGATCGTGAGAATTGGTGAATGATTAGTGAGAATAGATGATGAATGAATGAATAAAACGGAGTTTTTAATACGATATTTATAGAGAAAATCAGCCAAAAAGATAAATTAAACAAAACAGAGTCTGACGCACAGAAAACAGAGCTGGCGCCAACCCTGGCTAGCTGGCGCCAGGCACCAACACTAGCGCCAGGCGCCAATGGCTAGCTCCAGGCCTGGTTCCAGGCGCCAAGGCCTGGGGTTAGGCGCCAAGCCTGATTTTAACGCTTTTTGAAAATCAGATAAGTTTACCGTACTAGAGGATAAAATCATATAATTTCCTCGAAAATACTATTTGATTTTGATTAAAACTCTGAAACGTCAACAAAAGTAAATTTATCAATGCTAATTGAATTAGGAATGAAAAAGAAACTTCTAGAAGAATCTAGAAGACCAAAACCATTCCTAATTGCATTAGGAATGATAAATCATATTAGGCCCTCCCCTAGATCATTGGGCCATATATAAAGCTCAAACCGGACCCAGTTTAGTAAATTGGCCATAACTTCCTCAATATTCATCGGAATTGGGCTTATAATATATCGTTGGAAAGTTCTTGTTAAGCCCCATCCAACTACACTACTATTGGACCCATATCATGGACCAACCAAACTGGATTGACTTTTTTCTTAAAAATAAGTTTTCAAAAACAGAGAGAAAAGAAAAGAAATTAAAACTATCCACAACACTAGCCTTTCCACACTTTCGCTTCATTCGATTATGATTCGACGTGAAAGGTACTCATCCCTGGGTTTGGTTTTGGGGAGACACAAATGGGTGTCTACATCTAGTAACATAAAAGAACATGGTCATCGCACAAAGCACATGTTAATCTAGTTACATACAAGTAGTTACATACAAGTAGTGTTTACTTACCCCTCCTACCAACCTCAACCGATCAAGCACAAAGCTCCCGGTCGCGTCACACAACTTAAAAAAATCATATTCCACTCTAGGCACTGGTAGTGGTAAGTCCTCAAACCCAACAACTATAGAATCGATCCCGACCGAGATGTAATGGGTGCTAGTATTAGACTTAAATGGACCTTGTCAAAAGGTTGTGCACTACCATACCCCACCAACTACAACTGTTCACCAGTGTTTTCCCCGGGGTGAAAAAGCTCACAAGGCGTCTCTTCCTACATATTTGATTAGGAGTTAGGACATAAGTTATGAAATAACAAACGAAAACCTAACGTAAGAAAAGCTGATTACGTAGTGAAGTTTACCTCAGGCATCGGATTTTCTCTCTTCAATGACTCTGCATCCATAGGACTAGGATCCTGCAAAAGTAAAATAATTAAACATGCAAACGACCTCATTTGACGAACTTCATATGACGTAATTCTTCCTTGTACAAAAATTACCTCTCTCTCAACTACTGGATCGTCCTCGGGGGCCTCCTGGGTGACTACATGAGTCTACAGGGGTACTCGAGGGAAATGGAAAAAGCGGCAATTTCATGTGCTTCAGAATGGCATTGAATTGACTTTGCATCTGTTCTTGCAACTCCGCACGTATCTCCGCCTTAATTGATTCATTTTCCTCTCATCAATCCGATGTGGCGAATTAACACTTGATCTTCTTTTTCCTGATTTGGTGTATTCTGAACCCATCACCTTCTCCCACCTTAGTTGTTTCCCGCCAAAACCAATTACTCGCCCAGGGTGGTATGGTTTTCCCAAAGCTAAGGTGAAAGGATCATTTTCGATGCTTGGAGTCAGCTTGCCTTCAATCACTTCCGAAGTATGCTCGAGCTGTAACAACACAAAAATTTATCGGTTCTAAGTACAATGTACTTGACAAGGAAATATAATTAATAAGTAGAAAAGTTTGCTTACAAGTGCATCTGCTACTACTTTCTTATCCGGTTGCATGACATACTTGCCGGTTTTCTTGTCTATCCCATGCATAGCACACCACCAGTCAATTGCACGATTAACCAAAGTTGTGATCGTGGAAGAAAGTGGTTTATCTGATGATGACATTATGGATTTTGGGTATAGACCCGCTTTGACCCACTTTGGTCTAGACTCTGCAAATGTCTTACAATCCATATGATGGCTATACAATTTCTTTCCGGCATTGATTCTAGCTTGTTCGCTTTTTTCCTACACATTCAGATTTATATGTTAGCATCAGTCATTGTAAGAAACTAAATATCAGTAGCCGACTCTATTGAGAAATAACTACATACAAGTGCGGTACTAGTGGAAGTTTTTTCCACAAACTTCTCCCAATCCTTGATCGTTATTTGTGGATATAATTCCCACGGTTTCTTATCAGGTTTCTCCTCTTCTCCATCAGCAGACACATTTTTCTTTGGTCTTCTCCTTCTTTTCTTATGGATCCATCTCGTCCTCAAGTAACTCTTGAAGTTTTTGAATCTCTCTTGTACAAAAGCTTCAAAGACTTTTCTCTTGGCCGGCTCATCAGGAATATGGAACATACTCTGTAATTGGCGCAAACATCCACGTTAGGCAAGAGAAAAAAAACATAAAAAGGGAAAAAAAATCGGGAATCGGGGCAGCACCCAAGCCGCAGCCCGGGCAGCTGCAGCACCCAGGCCCGGGGGTTGTTTTTGCAAATTTTTTTTTTTTTTTTGCCAACATGTATATTAATGAAAAATAAAAGTGTGATTGGTATTAATTAATCATATATATTAATTAAAAATAAAAGTGTGATTGGTATTAATTAATAATATATTAATCACTATATTAAACCCGTGCAATGCACGATTGTTAAATAATTCTAATGACAATAAATTTTACCAAAAAATAACGGATATAAATATTATAATTATACTTAGTACGTAGTTAAAAGTATGAAATATTATAAATAATTCTAATGATACTTACCATTGTATCGTCCCAAAATGTTTGAAGCAACCCGTGAGGTATCTCGGAAAACTCAAGTGTGATTAGTATTGTACGAGTTAGAATGCCAACTAGACTAGAAAATTTGTCGCGCCATTGGCCAGTAGGTTGACCTAACTCATCAAACTCAAGCACCATAGGAATGCCGGGTTTCTTGAAAGCTTTTGTTGCACCCCTACTCCTTCTGTTCACCGGTGGCTTTACCCCTCCTCCACCACCGGTTGTTTTCACTTGGATTTGCATTTGATTTTCACAATGTGAATCACCTACAACCTCGGAAACCACATTATCCTCAATAGGTGGTGCAGTTTCAGCTATACGCTCATATTCATCAAGCTTATGTTGGAACTCGTCATAAGCTTGGTCTTCCGGTTCCCCCATATCTGTCTCCTTATTAACATCAAACAACTCGTCACCATCATCATCATCTGTATCCTCATCAGAATGAAGGTTCTCATCAGGATCCATGATATGTGCACACCTACAGTAAACAAGCAAAGCATGTTGTTAGTCATCAGTAATGGCAATCAAATTTGAGGCATGAAGAAAGACAAACACTTACCCAACTTCTTTGGTTTCATAACAAATTCACATATAATCCTCTAAACAATTCATATATTTAGTTCATATTACATGCTTATACGTTGAAAATGCAAAAAAATAAAACACTTCCTGAAATAAACAAGGTTGTTGGAGCATAAGATATTTAGTAAATAAAACATGCATATCAATAAAAGTACCTCATTCGTGTATTCCCTCATTGTGGTCAATTCGAATATAAGTAGCATCATCATCTACATCAGTTGCTACATCAAGTGTAGGAGCAGTGAAAGGGGGAGAATCATCAAATGCATCATATTCTTCCTCGTCCTCAACCTCTCCAACCCCTAAAATTCTCCTTTTGCCAGCCAGGATGATGGACCATTTAAGATCGGACGGGTCAGTTACATAGAACACTTGCTTAGCTTGAGATGCAAGGATGAATGGTTCAAGACTATCCCGCAAGTGGCCAAGATCTACAAGAGTGAAGTCATCATTTCTTACGTTGCGCCTATTATTATCGACCCATTTACACTTGAATAGACCAACCTTGAAGTCACGGTAATCTAGTTCCCATATTTCCTGAATTCGTCCATAGTATGATAATAGTGCATCAACTGGTGATGTATCCTTCGCACTTGCAAACTCTCTTGATGAAGCCACAAGAGTGACACCACTATTTTGAGTCGATGAGGATTTCTGATCCCGACTCTCAGTCCAAAATGTGTACCCATTTATGTCATATCCCTCAAATGAATGAACATCTTCCTTTGGACCATAAGCTAGCCACTTTATTGTATCAGAAACAGTCTCATCCAACTGACGCATCACACGATCATGGAACCACTTCACAAACATCTTATTATGCAACTGCATTAGTGCTCTTTCCCCTTTTGATGGATATTCAACACGCAAACTATCCATGTGCTCTTCTAAATATGGGTGAACCTCCGCAATATGATGAAGCACAAATAGGTGATCTTGCATGATTTGATCTCGAGCAGCCCAGATCCTTTTTGACCCGATTGTGCCATGACCATCAAGTCTCCCTTCATGTCGGGAAGTGGGAAGCCCAATAGGTTCGGCAACGGCAACATACTCTGCCACGAAATTCCCAATCTCCTCGGACACAATTCCTTGTATCATACTGCCTTTCGGATGGGCGGGATTTCTTACTTTATCTTGCAGTATACCCATGTGTCGTTCAAAAGGGTAGCACCACCTCATAAATACTGGACCGCACAACTTAATCTCACGAACCAAATGCAGAAACAAATGCACCATTATGTCAAAAAGTGAAAGTGGGAAAAACATCTCAAATTTGCACAAAGTTACCACAACATTCGCCTGGAGAACATCAAGTGTAAAGGGATCAAGAACTTTGCTGCAGATAGTATTGAAAAACCCACAGAGGCTTGTTATAACTTCTCTCACGTGCTTTGGTAAAATACCACGAATTGCAATCGGTAGGAATACTTGCATCATCATGTGACAATCATGGGATTTCATACTTGTCAACTTCAATTCTCCATTTAAGGAAACAAACCTTTTCATGTTTGACGAGAAACTAGATGGAAGCTTAATGTCATACAAACAAGCACAAAACCTCCGTTTTTCTTCCTTAGATAATGTGTAGCAAGCTGGAGGTAAATACACCTTTTGGTTCTTTCCTTTTCCATCACCTTTCTTCTTTGCGATACCCGTGGTCTTTTCCTTGCGCTTCCCCTTACGGTTTTGATCACCATCTTCGTTTCCCTTTTCCTTAACCTTCGCCATCCCTACCTTAGCTTGAACCCACAACTCCGGACGAACACCCCACGCTTGTAAATCTAACCGTGCACTCTTGTCATCCTTCGTTTTTCCAAGAATGTTCATAATTGTCCCCAAAATTGCATCACAAACATTCTTCTCTATATGCATCACATCGAGACAATGTCTAACATCATGTTCTTTCCAGTATTCAAGCTTCCAAAAGATTGATTCCTTTTTAAAGAGAGCGTGTGGGTCAATTGGTTTCGTTGTTTTACCAAAAACACATGGAATACCCTTCACTCTTGCATAAACCTCCTTTCCACTCAATGGCCTAGGCGCAACCCCCTCCTCAACTTTCCCATCGAAGGCCTTTTTCTGCTTACGATACGGGTGATCGCGCCTAAGAAATCTTCGGGTCCTCACGTACACATCTTTGCCATAGTGGTCAAGGTACACGTTCGGTGTGTCATCAATACAAATGGGACATGCTTTATGCCCTTTGTTCTTGTACCCAGACAGATTGCCATATGCGGGAAAATCATTGATGGTCCACATAAGGGAAGCACGCAAAAGAAACATCTCGTTCTTATGGGCATCATAAACGGTAACACCTTCGTCCCACATCTTTCTCAAATCATCAATAAGGGGCTCAAGGTAAACATCAATGTCGTTTCCAGGTTGCCTTGGCACCGTTATCAAAAGTGAAAGCGTTATATATTTCTGTTTCATACACAACCACGGAGGCAAGTTGTAAATCACTAAAATTACCGACCATGTGCTATGTTTAGTACTAAGAGTGCCAAATGGATTCATACCGTAGCCTTAAATTTCTGACTTCACCACCAAATGCCCTAAACTTCATATCGATGTTCTTCCATTGTGGAGAGTCAGTAGGATGCTTCAACAAACCATTTTTCTTTCTTCCCTCAGCATGCCATCTCAGGTTCTTGGCGTCTTTTGGTATTGAAAATAGACGCTTTAACCTTGGAATGATAGGAAGATACCACAACACCTTGGCAGTTGGCAGGAGGTCCTTTACTACCAGAACACAACCATTAGGACATGCATGTATCTTCTTATACTCCAAACCAAATGGATACATTAGTTTCTTTGCATAATAATAGGAATTAGGAAGTTCATTCCCATCTGGCAACATATCACATAACGCAATCAACAAAGAAGTGAAACTAGTGTCACTCCAGTTATGCTTAGACTTAATGTTAAATAGTGTAAGCACGGCTGAGAGTTTTGTGTATTTTTTGGACCCAGGATACAAAGGCTTTTTGGCAGCCTCTGATAATGACTCAAATACATCAGGTCGGTCACCAAATTCACCTTCAACGTCACGCATCATCTCATCCAAGTGATCATCACCACCACTATCCTCGGTGTCATCCCCTTCACCACCATCATCACTCCCATTTTCTTCTTCAACATGAATCTCGGTACTTTCAACATGCGTCTCATTGCCAACAACATTCTCCCTATACGATCCCTTCTCACCATGCCAAACCCAAACATGATATTGAGGCCTAAACCCATGACATTGTACATGAGCCATGATGGTATCCACACTATTGACCCTTATGACATTATTACAATTGACACAAGGACAATAAAGGTAATTGACACCCGTTCTAAGCTGATACTGTGAAGCACTCTTGCAAAACTCTTGAACCCCATTAAAAAATTCCAATGTATCACGTCTACCATACATCCAACCGCGATCCATTGACGCTTTAAATTGTCTTTAAACATACCAACACATTTCAAACAATGATAAATGTAACATATATTATGTCAATCAAAGTACATAGCATATATATCATCCATATATCGTAAAAATGAATGCTCCCAAAAGGTCCTTAACACTCCAACGGTCCAACCTAACCCATCCTTGAACGTCTAATCTCACTAGTGAATGTATGTCAACTTTTCAATTTTAAGGAAAATCTGGCAGCATTTCCCCCCTATTCTCCAAGTACACGATGTAGGTAATAACTTACCTACATATGTACCCAGAGAACATGGTGAGAAAATGAGAAGCCCAGATATTCCTTAAAATCGAAAAAGAGACATACATTCACTAACTAAGTGAGATTAAACGTCCAAGAACAGTCCCAAATGGGGACTATTCAAGACTTTCTCCTATTGAGAAAGACTCGAACGGGTATCTAGGCAAATGATGATGCAAGTATTCAATTATTATTTGCATTTATTTGACATTCAACAATAAACAAGTTCATTCATTTAAATAGTGCTAATAATTAAATTAACGTACATACAATAATCAATATAGAAATTCATTATATTTATACATTATTGCAATTTACTATACTAACCACATTTAATTTAACAAACTAAAATGTAAACTAATATATATTCTATTAAAAAATTTCACTTTAGAACTACTCAAATTCAAACAATATATTTATACATATATATATAGCATTTAAACAATAATTATATTAACAATAAACATTATCTAATATACAAACAAATGATAAAACAATTACAATAAAATTGAGTTAACTACTTGAAACCCTAACTTGAAATTTTAGAATAAACATACAAATTAATACAAATTAATACATATAAAACTTAAATTTAGCAAAACTCACCCTAAGATTGAGGGATGAGGAAGACTTGTGGTGTGTGTTGGGCTCGGTTCACCACCACCCACGAACACCACCATCCGCAACAAGGAGCAGCAACCACCACCCGCAACTAGGAGCAGCTACTAACCCATCCACGATCAGCCTTGAGCAACACCCACAACCCAAGAACGACCCACACTCGAGCAGCACCCCAAACACCCTTAACCCACGCGCACCACCCACAAACCCTCAACAGCAAATGAATAGAGTGGTGGACTTGGTGGCCGGAAAAACTAGAGGGAAAGGAGAGACAAAAGAGAGGCGGAGTGAAGGCGGGACATGCAAATTTGGCAAAAAGCTTGAGTCGAATGAAAGTGTTAAGGCAGAGGAAAGAAAAGAAGAAGCTAAGCCTGCCTTTTTTTTTAAAAAAATGGCCAGCGGTTTAATGTTGAACCGCTTGCCAATTTAACTAATGGTAAGCGGTTCAACCCTAAACCGCTTGCCATTAGTTAAAAAGCAAGCGGTTCGCGCCAAAACCACTTGCTAATTCATAGTTTTTTTTTTGTTTTTTTTATTTTTAAAATCAGTAATGGGAAGCGGATAACACAAACCGCTTGCAAATCATAGCTTCCCATCACATTTATTCTACTAGTGCATAAACCAAAAGTTTAATATAATTACAATGTTTAAATTATAAAATTTGTAGGGAAAGATACATAAATACGTCGTACATCATAAGTTCTTCCGGAACTCCACTTACATGATTCATAACATGCTATAAAATCGACGTCATCAATAATTTTATCAAATTATAAGCCCATCGGAATATAAATATTTATTTATAATTTTCCATCAAAGTTACAAATACGCCTTACTTTATTTTGAACAAACATTCACATATACCAAATTATTGTATAGAAACTAATGCAACAATATGAGATATAGAAAACAAAATATACATATAGTAATGCATCTATCAACTTTCGATGTATGCAATGAATAATACAATAACCTAGACTCACACATGCATAAGAACATAAATAGGACTCAAAATAATGCAAGACAATGTATAGTGTGAATTTAAAAATCCATATTTTATTGGACTTTTGGTCTATGATAAACTTATCATGATTATTATTATGACGACATCAACATGGACATATATTCCATATCCCTTATTTACTAGTCTATTCTATCATGCATATGAATGCATTATTTAATTTATCGGTTCCATCATATACCAGTTTCATCATATAATTCCTCAAGTTACAATTTTAATTTGCATGCTATTTTAACAATGATATCTGAATACATTTTTCATTAGTACCATCATAATTTTTTCTTACATCATAGGCCATTTATTGTAATAATTCAGATAACTATACTACTTTTGGAGTATTTATATAGTATTACACTATTAAAAGTGTTAACTGCACTATCTTGCCACATATCATATCTATATTTTCATATTTTGGAACTGATTATACAACCTACACTTCAGGTGTAATGATTCAAGTATTATTGGCAAGATTTTATCTCAATGTATACTAATATGACCAAAATGTATCTTCAACGCTATGCAACATGAGTCAAAACTGAATACGAACCAAATCATAAATGTGCAACATATCTTCATAATATATAGACAAAAGTTGGCATATAACTTTTCAAACTACCATTATAGGGATCATAATTATTTATTTTTTATTTAATTTTTCCAACTTTTGCTAATTTGTTCATCTCCCCCTAATTCGGTAAAATATCACATTTATAAGATTGTCTTATTCTCTACCAACTTAGTAGACAAATTTGCATTAGTAAAATTCACTTCATTGGGAGAATCACAATCAAAATTTATTTCTAATAAAATTTGTATTAAACAAGTTCCATCTCTTCTGGAGAACAACTCAATGAAGAATTATTTATTCATTAACTTTACATTGCGTGTGTATTAATAACTAACCTTTTCATAATATCTTCTGAAAACAATGTCAATGGGGAGACATGTGTTGTGCAGTGGTATGTTTTCTCTTCTTTTCCAATTTCTTATGTGCTAACATATAATAGCCTCAATCAAAAGAATTGTTTTACAAGCATATATCACTTGCTTATAATTCTACGTACTAGGTGGTGATATTTCGAATATTTAAAGACTTAATAGTGTTTTTGGTGAGCTTTTAGTTACATAATTGTTGATAATAATATATAAGTTATTTTGGTGAACTTCTGGTCATCCATTACTCTTTTATATAAGAAATCAAAACCTATTAACTCTTGAAATTTTCATCAATGCAAATTATAATGAATCACAATCCAAATATAGCTCAATCTCAATGTTATGTCTTGCCATTCAATTCATTTCATATATCTAACACTGAAAGAGCGTCAGTACATTATCAAATGAAACTTCAGGGTTCATAATGGGTAATTATTAAACCCGGATGGTCTAATTTAATTATCACTCCAATCATTTTTCTAAATTTGAACGTTGGTCAGTTTTCCAACACTAGTGGTCACTTTATAAAACTTACTTTATGCATGGTCATGAATATGATGTGATATTATATAACGCCAACATGTGTTTCTTTATACAATTGGCAAGATAATCAATTAATATTTTATCCAATAATTACTCATACTCTACAGGATTTTTAACTATAAACTTGATACATGTTAATCATGTTGGATATTTCATACTCTTCTAGAGACTTTTATATAATCGTGGAACATAAGAATTTTACTAAAAGTTATTTCTTTATGAAGTGTAATGTAGTTTATCACTTCCTGAAATTCGTCATTGAATTGTCAATATAGTGGCTCGTTTCCTTTTCGAAGATACTTAATTATCTTTAGATTCTATTGATCAATCACACTTCAAGCACGTTATAGGTTCATCAACAATTGGTGTTGTCCTGACATCAATTTTAATTGGAGCATTTACAATTAGTATATGATTCATGACATTTATTTATATCCATCTTTAGGATGGTATCATTTCAAAATATTTAATTAACATTTGGTCACTTCCATTAAATAAATCTTTATTACATAAAATAATGGAATGAATACAATCTCTCCATAATCCTTGCATATGGGGCATAAAATGAATCCAATGTTAAATCTCATCCAAATTTTAAGGCTTAATTTCTTTTAGCAATACATGCATGTATCAAGCATAATAAAATTATTTTTTTATAAACTCTTATTTGTACATCTTGCCCAATTATATTAATTTCTTATAAGTATGGGCATAATAAATATATTTTACAAGTAAGTTTCCCACAATGTCATCTATCTCTTGCTCAAATAGATATTGTGCAATGATGTTTAATTTGCATATCATATAACTTTTGCATGAATTATAGAAAAATGTATGTATCATCTTAATCATATAATTATTTCTCATTCCTTTTTGGAAATAAGAATTTAGTAATTTATAAAAAAAAACCCTAGCCTCTCTTTTCTCTCTAAAACCCTAACCTCCATTGTTGAATTTTAAAGGGGCTTCCATCGATTTTTATCGATGGAAAGCCCCAATTGTTTGTTTTTGTGTGCTTTTTCTATTGTTTTAGGTTTATAATAATTCTTCCTCTTCTAGGAGGAATATTTCTTCCTTGAAAGACAAGGTTTTTCTTATTCTTTAGGAGGATTTGACTCCTTCGAAAGACCGGGGTTTTCTTCTCTCTTTTAAGGGAGGATTTGCCTTTTTATTTCATGGATTTCTATAGAGTTGTTTCATGGGTAAAATTTTGTGCGGGATTAAAAAAGAGGTTAATATTTCCATTACAATCTAGCGAATCAGACGGAAATTTTCTGTACTGATACAACAGATCAATAGACCCCCTCGTCGATGAAGGCTGTAAATCACAGCGATATGTAAAAGGGAATGAAGAATGTACGATTTGCAACAACGATCGTAGATTTGCTTACATAATGTTTTTATTCGATTCAATTATTATGTATT